TCTACAATATCTGATGGATTCACAAAAGCTTGGCAGATCAATTGTTGATACTTTTGTGCAGCTCGCCATACAAGTGCAGCATATCCAAGAGAATGGACTCAAAAGTCTGACTGAAGAGGAGTCTAAGCATGTTATAAGAAAAGAAAATCTTCTTTTAAAATATGCTTGGGAACGTCTAAACACTGGTACTGGATCTTCTTATTCCGGTAAATTTCGTTGAATTTTTTCCTTTCACCAGGACACTTTTCCGAAGTTGATTTATGCTGGAGGAAGTTGTACGCAGCTGTTTCATTGGTGAAAGCTGTTCGTTTGGCAAGTGCTGGCCAGTATTTGGTGAGTATGATTTTTATGGATGAAATTCAATATAGTTTCATTTACCCTTTTACTTGTGTATGCACTTCTCATTTTTCTTATCGTTTTTAAATGACGAAATTGGTACTAACTACTTAATCTGACCTGAAAATTCGAAATTTGGAATTTTGCAGAACTCCTCGATCCTTGGTGTTCTTAACAATCTTTTCCACTATCTTCGCTTCCAGGGATACTAACCGTTAGAGCGCACGACTCTTCTCATTTGATCTGCATCTTTACATCATATTTTTGTTCTTTTTTTTTGGAAGTACGTCATTTAGAACAGACTAGAGCTTCTTAGTTCATAAAAAAATCAAACTTCTGCTTTGACCATTAACCCCAATGTCACCATTCTAATAAATCTTTCCAGCATGCTATCGCTGCCACTGATCTTGGTTTGCTCATGGGGGATGGCATTCCCGAGCAGCTGCTCCAACGATATGCAAAGTCCTGTGATGATCATCTTCCGCTACCTCCTCCTATGCATGAAAACAAGGTTTGTTCATTGTTATGCGGAAGTTGATGACATCCTTAATGAGATATTTCTTGCAGATTTCGATTAGTGTCAGAAGTCTGCCCAATTCCGTTCAGATCCCAGTCTGCACGGAGTTAACGAAGTGGGATTTCTTTGACCAATACTTTCCCCGACAAGAGCCCGTCATTGTTAAGGGATTGAATAGACACTGGCCTGCAGTCCAGAATTGGAGGTTTGCAGTGTAGTATATAGCTAATGTACTTTAAATGTGTAGTGAGAACCATCCAACTGCAATTTGGGTAGATGCCTTATTTTCTCATGTTTAGCTTCAATCATCTTCATAAAATCTTGTGTCATCGTGTGTTACCTGTGGAACAAGGCTCGAAATACACTGACTCTGATTGGGCACAAATGCTAATGACAGGCTCACAGTTCTTTAACACTTGTACACTTCCAGCGGATGAGGTGTGTGCATTTTTTGGAAATGTCCGAAATTTGTTTACCTAGGTTCATTATGTCGTTATACTCTATTTATGTTTCGTTTAGAAAGGCCCGCTTTATCTTGCTCAGCATCGCTTATTCAATCAAGTACCTCAGCTTCGTGAAGACATCTCTCTTCCATTGTATTGCGACCATTGTGAGGTTAGCTCTATAGTTTTATGACATTTTAGGGTATTAGCACCAACTCTTCTAGTTCGACGAAGTGGACAAGAATTGTTGGATTGGACCTGGTGGTACCATATCACCTTTACATACGGATCCACGTGAAAATGTATTCTCACAAGTAAGCTCTTTTGCTATAACTAATTGGCGCTATTCCACCCACTGTCCTAAATTTTCTAGATATTTCGTCCAAAGTTTGTCAGGGCATTATTGACTGTGATCATA